AATCTTAGTATCCAACTATGGTAGAGGTGAGGAAGGTTGATTTAAGATGTTCGATTATTCTTGTACAACTGAGAATCCTAGTATCCAACTATGGTAGAGGTGAGGAAGGTTAATTTAAGATGTTCGATTATTCTTGTACAACTGAGAATCTTAGTATCCAACTATGGTAGAGGTGAGGAAGGTTGATTTAAGATGTTCGATTATTCTTGTACAACTGAGAATCCTAGTATCCAACTATGGTAGAGGTGAGGAAGGTTAATTTAAGATGTTCGATTATTCTTGTACAACTGAGAATCTTAGTATCCAACTATGGTAGAGGTGAGGAAGGTTAATTTAATATGTTCGATTATTCTTGTACAACTGAAAATCCTAGTATCCAACTATGGTAGAGGTGAGGAAGGTTAATTTAAGATGTTCGATTATTCTTGTACAACTGAGAATCTTAGTATCCAACTATGGTAGAGGTGAGGAAGGTTAATTTAATATGTTCGATTATTCTTGTACAACTGAAAATCCTAGTATCCAACTATGGTAGAGGTGAGGAAGGTTAATTTAAGATGTTCGATTATTCTTGTACAACTGAGAAATGTTTGGTTTGTTATGAATTTTGCGCAAAGCTACACAACGACTATCTGCGATAGCGTCCCTAATTTAGCAGTGATAGACTAGAGGGAAGGCAGCTAGTTATTCCCACCCACCACCAACTCTTGGGCTACTTTTTTACAAATGAATAGTGGGATTTACCATCACATTATAATGTACCCACGGCTGATAGGTCGAGCATGTTTAGTGAGACGGGGATTCGAACACGTTAGCCAGTAGATTACGAATCGAGATCCCTATCCACTTGGCCATGCCAGGCTGAGAAATGTTAAGTAAATTGGTTGATAACTTGTAATGGTCTAAAGTGAACACGCCGCTACAATCAGGGCTCAACAACAAAAACAGACTTTATTCACAATAACAATACTTAGAAATATATTCCACACAGTTAATAAACAAACCTGGACAGGGCTTCACACCAATGTTAATAAACAATTTATCATAAATGTTAATAAATAAATAATAAGGAATCAGGAAAAAGAACTAGAAAGAAAATACCTAATCCCCCCCCCCAAACAACAACAACAAATGCAATATCCAAACAATACCTTTTCAATAACTATCTCGTGACACTTTCTCAGTGCAGCTTCTGGCAGGGTATTTATTCACAGAGTATGTCACGAGAGTACAACCTCATGTGATCATAAATTTACATACTCTTCTGCTACATTAATAATATCTGTACGTCACTGCTATGGAAGCTGGTGTCAGTTTCATCATAAAATACGTATTTGCTAAAAATACAAATGATTATGTAGAAGGTGAGTTAGCATTTTAATGCAACTAAAAATTTATAGACAAATTATACGATAGAAGAAAATAATATATGAACGATAAATACAACCATAATCATAACAAAAATAGAATTTGCTATCTCATAAACTTTGGTACAGCTGAGGGGGTCAACATAAGCTGATCGATAATTATTGTAGATCTGAGGGGGATTAACATAAGTTGATCGATAATTATTGTAGATCTGAGGGGGATTAACATAAATTGATTGATAATTATTGTAAATCTGAGGGGGATTAACATAAGTTGATCGATAATTATTGTAGATCTGAATTAACATAAGTTGATCGATAATTATTGTAGATATGAGGGGGATTAACATAAGTTGATCGATTATTCTTATACAGTTGAGAAAGGTTGAGCAAAGCGGTTGATAATTTTGGTACAACTGACGAGAGTTAAATGAAATTCATTGATTATTCTGTTATATCTTAGGAAAATATAATAGTTCGAATATGAAAGGGTTTATTGATGTTGATTGACCATTCCGATGGAACCAAGAAAGAAAGGCAATACAAGTTGAACCACCACCAAAACTCCACAGATATTATATACATTTCACCATTATAAGAGGCCTAATGGTGTTTTTTTGGTTTGCTGACCCAAGCTGGGATGATGAGCTTTGAATATCCGAAACTCCAGTCCACAGCAGAGGATACAGCGAATCAAAAATGCATCAGGCTTCTACGTCACAAAATATCAATTTCACCTTTAAAGAATAAGAAAATAAATTTTTAACATGTATATACGACCACTCAATATGTTGCAGAGAAAATGAGGATTAAGTTCAGTTAAAATCAATAATTTCATAATTCTATGCTGAAAGTAGCTGAAAACAAATGTATATAATTATAAACTACAAATACAATTTAAGTTAGACTACGTGCATCATACTGAATTATTCAAGAACATACTGACAGAATGAAAAATACAAAATTATAATTTTTATTAAGTATTATTTATTATGCAATACGGATAGTTTCAAATAATCATCGAAGACTGATCATGATCCCATAGCTCCGTCTAAAGTGAATAATCGCGCAGAAATATACATTTTTACAAGATTCTATCAATATTTCATTTGAACTTGAAATGACTAGCTTATTTAATATGTAAGTTATAAATACTAAAACATACAATACATCACAACAGACTGTTACATCTTATCAATAACTACCAGCAAGGCACAACATACATGCTGTACAATAAATAGCGTCAATAGAAAGTTATATTTTGTGTACAATATTAACAACCGTAATATACCGGAAAAGTGCTAGTTTTAAAAATTTTCCTCTTAAACAAAATAAATCATTGAAAACTTTTACAGTCTCTTCAATTTTCTGAGCAATTTTCAGAAACTAAAATTCACGAGAGTTTTTGTGTTATACAACATACTTCATAAAGCACAACAAATATTTTTGAGTAATATCCCACATTTGCACTTCAGTGATATTATCTTTCTCCGTTCCAACTACAGCACTTCAGTGATATTATCTTTGTCCCAGGTACAGCACTTCAGTGATATTATCTTTGTTTGCTGTACCTGGAACAGAGAAAGATAATCTCACTGAAGTGCTGTACCTGGAACAGAGAAAGATAATCTCACTTGAAGTGTTGTACCTGGAACATAGAAAGATAATCTCACTAAAGTGCTGTACCTGGAACAGAGAAAGATAATCTCACTTGAAGTGTTGTACCTGGAACAGAGAAAGATAATCTCACTGAAGTGCTGTAGCTGGAACAGAGAAAGATAATCTCACTGAAGTGCTGTACCTGGAATACAGAAAAATAATCTTACTGAAGTGCTGTACATGTGCTGTGACTAATGGTATGAACAGTGGTGATAGCTATTGGTTTGTTATATGGACACAACAACAAATAATATTAGCCTGAAATTCTAAGTGAAGTGACAATTTTTGACACTAATAATAATTTATTTATTTTAACTGCTTTATCCAAAACTGAACTATAAACAAAGTGGGTTTATGAAGGCAAGGGTGGCGCTTTTTATGGCATAACAGAAAATAATGGGTACAGAGAAATATATTCTCCCTGAAGTGCTGTAACTGGAACAGAGAAATATATTCTCCCTGAAGTGCTGTAACTGGAACAGAGAAAGATAATCTCACTGAAGTGCTGTGTCTGGAACAGAGAAAGATAGTCTCACTGAAGTGCTGTAGCTGGAACAGAGAAAGATAATCTCACTGAAGCTGTTCATAGTATTAGTCACAGCAACAAACCAATAGTTATCACCACTGTTCATAGTATTAGTCACGACAACAAACCAATAGTTATCACCACTGTTCATACCATTAGTCACAGCAACAGACCAATAGTTATCACCACTGTTCATGGCATTAATCACGACAACAAACCAATAGTTATCACCACTGTTTATAGCATTATTCATGGCAACAGACCAATGGTTATCACCACTGTTCATAGCATTATTCACGACAACAAACCAATAGTTATCACCACTGTTCATAGTATTAGTCACAGCAACAGACCAATAGTTACCACCAATATGTTCATCATTTGTTCCGCGCATCAGTGAAAGTTTCGTCATCTATCTTTACTCCGTTTCTGTAGCTATGTTTATCACACCGTTTCTAGAGAAACGAATTGTGTTGAAGTTTATAATCACGTCTGGCGTTATGGAACTTCTTCGTTGCCAGGGTTACCAAACTTACCAATTACACGAACTTCTATGGATGTACCACTTTGAATTCACACGAATAACTAACTATTGCAGAGATTACTTTTGAAGTACATAGCAACCTGTGGGGGA